GTTCTTTGGTCCCTCTGCAGCGGCTCTTTCAAACTTTGGCATAAAACTGAATTTTATTGGTTATAACAACAAAGGGGCTAGTTTTAGCAGCTTATTTAGCGAATATATGAATACTAGAAACATTACAAGGAGTAAAAACATACTTTCACTTTATTTCGTCATAGGTTATGTAACATTTCTACCAAAAAAAAATAAAGAAAAATCACATGAATGCAGTTTATTGTATCGTTTTAAAAACTGGGTAAAAATATTTTTCCCTTCTTTACAAGAATCTTAGTGTAAAAATATCAATCTGTTAAAAATTATAGACATTTTGTTTTATAAAATTACCTACTGTCCAGAAAAGCACCCTCCATCAAACTTAGTGGTCTGTGGGCCACCAGCTGAGAATCCCAGTTGTGGCAGGTATTGTGGCTCCGGACCAGTTTAACTTTGTGAACAAAGGGCGCAGAAACGGTTCTTTTGATCGTAAACTTTGCAGACCTCTGCGCTAAAACGCGTCCGTAAGCATCTTTCGATATGCAGCGCTTTAAATTCTTTAACATTTTAATACAAAACCAACTGTTGTACAAAGTTTGTTCATTTAAACATAAGCAGAGAAAATGGGAAATAAACCAGTACGCTTAAAAATATAAATTGACAATTACATTGTACCTGCAGTGTACTTTGGTTTTTAAACAGTATACCCACTGCACCACTGGTCAGTCTGGTCTCTCGAACTTGCTCTCCCAGTTCAACCTGGGCTGTACCTCTGATGATCTCATTCCGGATCTTCTCCATCCTCGTCACTCCCAAGAACCTCAACATCTTCATTTCTGCCACTTCCAGTTCCGTCAACACAACGCAACTGGTCTTTGCCGCCACATAATTGGCATTTTCAAAACGTTTATTCCACGGCTTTTAAACTAACAAATATTTGAACTTATATTAGTACAAGTACACAAGTGCACTTATATTGACCACTGAAAAAAAATCATTTATTTTCTTGCAACCTTTAATTATTGCACTTGAACCCCTCAAGCTGAATCTGGCTGCAGATATTGGGCTTTCTGTTGAGAAATGCACACGAGACAATGATCTCCTGAGAAAAGGCTTTGTAATTTGGCAGATCCTTCATTTTGCTTAAATTTTGCTCCTTGCTGCCCATAATTACCTGCTTCCTATCCAGGTCGTGGGAATCATTGACGTGTCCATATCCAGCAGTCCTGCAACATGTCCAAGGTGTAACCACCTCACTTCCATCCTTCAATCACTTGGGTCGTCTTCTGGTTGGTAACATCACCAGATTCTTCCACAATGTGGATTTCTAGTACCGGTAATCAAATACTAGGGTATTAAGTGATGATTCTGTGGTTGAATCCACAGCTTTCACACTTTATCCCAAT